GTCGCAGGGGCTTTTGACAATGTCTGGTGGCCATCCATTGTGGGTGAACTGAGGAAGGCGAACCTGCCGACCACCCTTGTATCGCTTTCCAGGAGTTTCCTGAGCGACCGCGAGGTAATCTACGAGACACCGAGTGCAAGACATACGAAGATACTGGAGAGGGGCTGTCCCCAATGATCCTGTATCGGGCCTTTGCTTTGGAACATTCTAGCGGACACGGCGCTGCGACTAGTCCTTCCGGACGATGTCCAGCTGCAGGCATATGCAGACGATCTGTTGTTAGTAGTTGCCGGTTACAGCCGTAGCGACATGGAGAGTCGTGGCAACGAACCAATAGAACAACTCGTTCGCTGGGGAGAGCTGCACAAGCTCTCTTTCAGCCCCGAGAAATCGGAGGCCCTGACGGTGGCCCGGACTGGAGTGTTGGCCCGCCGACCAATATACCGGATCCGAGGAAACCCCATCAGAAGGGTGAGCGAGATTAAGTACCTCGGTGTTACCATCGATCAGACACTATGCTGGACGCCCCATCTGAGGAATGTCCGTGAAAGGACGAACCTCATGATAGCAGCACTATCAAGACTAGCGAGATTAGGATTATGGCTTAGGTGGAGAAGCGCTCCGCACCATCTACAAGAGGTGTGTGGAGCGAGTCATCTGCTATGCCTGTGGAGTCTGGTGGAAGGATACCGCCAACGTCAAAATGAGCAGGACGCTGCTCATGATCCAAAGGCCCGCTGCCCTGCGGATCACGACAGCCTACAGAACTGTGTCTACGGACGCGGCCCTGGTCTTGGCCGGGATGCTCCCGCTGCCCTTGGTAGTCAGCCAAGAGGCGGCCTTCTACAGAACCACGGTAGAAGGACTAGAGGCAACGCATTGTAATCGGAAGTACCCAGCCAGACTTAGGGAGAGAGTAGATGTTTTCAAAGTCCATCCGACCCAACGGATTGGACTCGGCTGGGAAGTCGGTGAACCGACTGGTACGGGTGTTGAAATATACACCGATGGCTCAAAAGACGGCAGCTTAGTAGGTGCCGCATTTTGTGTTTTCTGTAACGGAGTGCAAGTGTACGAACAGTCGGTCAGACTGAATGAGGAGGCGTCCGTGTTTCAGGCAGAACTGGTGGCCTTGGGGTGGGCGTCCCAGTGGATCCTATTACATCCGGGTCCAGAGCCTGTCACAGTTTACTCTGATAGCCAGTCGTCGCTACAGGCTTTGAACGACGGGTACCACCGCGATTCGCTGGTACACGAGATCAGATGCGAGGTGCTGAGGGCAAGGCACGCACGACAAGTTACTCTGTGTTGGGTCCGAGGCCACACCGGGATCCTGGGTAACGAGCGTGCTGATCAGCTAGCAAAGGCGGGAGCTAGCAGTCCATTTATAACGAGGACGGTTGAACCCTCAGCAGTTTATATCAAAGGTACCTTGCGGAAACGATCGATGAACATCTGGCAAGAGCGCTGGAATCAAAGTAAGGTAGGTAGGTCAACCTACGCCTTCGTGCCTGTAGTTGGCCTGGCTCCGGTGTGTTGCAATAGGCTCACGACTCAAATACTGACCAGCCACGGGAGGTTTCCCCATTTCAAGTCCCGCTTTGGGCAAGGAGATGGTAGCTGCTCCTGTGGGAGTTCTCGCGGGGACACGAGACATTACGTACTTGACTGTCCTCTTACAGAGGCTTTCCGCCGAGGGGCCGACCAAGTCAACTGGTCTCGGCTGCCTGAACAAGTACTTCGAACGTTAGCAGCTAGTAAAGGAAACTTAATGAAACTAAAGGAATTGATGGAAATGATCATAAACTTATGATCTATGTACCTAGTGGACGCACTGGGTTGGGTTTCCTCTTACTTGTAGGGAAGGGGACCCCGCCGTCCGGAAAAATACCTAAAGAATAAATGATCTATTAGTCAGTGGAAAATAATTAGTTAGTGGAATAAAGTGCAGTTTCAGCTGTACACCCTAAAAGCTATGTCACGTTAGCGAGCTAGGGCCTAGTTCCGCGGCCGGGAAACCGGACGTTCAACAGGGCCCAAAGCTTTGTCGTTTAAAGGTTTTAGCGGCAGAATTGCCACAAGTCAATGACGAAGGAAAGACATAGTCTCTCAACCCTGTGGTGCCAATCTGGCGGGGCAGGGAAAGAGATCCCTTAACCGGGAAACGATCCTTAAGAGACTCTGGTCCGGCATAGTACACAGCCACCGGTGTGTACCGAGTATAACCCACTAAACCCAACACATAATAATAATAATAACATATTTATTTTGACTCATTTTTAATAATTTAACTTAAAATATAACTTTGTACCTATATAATTTCTTTATAACTTTCACTCTGATATCTAATATATTCCCCATTTTAAAACATTTTCTATTTTGGGAATTCTGAAATAGTAACATTTAAAAATATTTCCTGTATCAGAAGGTTAAATAAAATACAGTGGTGCCTCGTATAACGTACGCCTCGAATAACGGACTTTCTGTTTGACCGTTACGTGACTCGAGCAACAGACTTGCTGCGAACAACGGACTTTCCGTTTGGCAGTTACGTGAGACGAACAATGGACTTTTTTCGAATAAGTGCGAATGATGTTTCCACTCTTTTGCCGTTGCCAATGACAATCTGCTATTTTTAGGATATATTAGTATTATTAGAATGTATTATTAGTATATCTGAAGTAGAAATGTAATGTAATATATGTTGATGATTTAAATAAACATTAAATGTAATGTAATACAGTATATGTTGACGATTCAAATAAACGAAATGTAATTGTGTAGATGCCGAGGTGGCGGGACGAAAAGAGGTTGTAAAAAACAAACGGAGCGAGAGTAGCTCGTAGAAGTGTTTAGTGATCTTAATTAATAAAGAATTATTCGTATCATATAATCTGGCAAGTTAAGTCATTTATAATGCATCATGGCTTCTAAAAAAACAGAAAGGTGATTTCAATTGAAACAAAGCAAGAAATCATCAGGAGTGAAAGTTGACAAAAACTTTCTTGTCGAATGGGGAGAGGTTCAGGAGTTTACCAACACTCATTATCCAAACAGAGCTGAGGCCAACAGGATCAATGATCTCTACGATGACACCTTTGTCCGTCATTTCCGACAGGTGTTAAAGAAGAAAGAGAAACAGACCACCTTGGTCATGTTTTTCAAGAAACCAGCGGGCAAAAAACAAAGGATGGAACAAGAGAAGTTGACCCTGCAAGTTCCGGTAGCCTCTCCTGAATCTGACTTTGATTAAAAAACAATAAAAAAAGACCCGCTGCAATGTGTAAAAAGTCTGTATCTGTATGAATGTGTAAAGAAAGTGTTCTTCCACCTCCTCCTCACAACATCTGACTACCCGGCATAATTGGTGTATGCTCCATTTTCATTTTTTATGGTACAGTACGGTTATTTTATGCAGTGGAACGAATTATATGTTTTAACATGTATTTCTATGGGAAATGCATTTCATATAACGGACATTTCACTTAACGAACATGCACCTGGAATGGATTAAGTATGTTGTACGAGGCACCACTGTACATAACTTTACAATTTTTTTAATGTTTTGTTTTGTTAAGTATTTGTTTATTTAAATGGTGGTCATCTTTTTAGCAATTATTGATTTTTATATAGATTTATTTATTATAAATGAAAAATATGATAAAAATATAAATATGAGTATAGGATGTTGGAAATCAAAATCAGTATCTTATTATTTGAGTTAATTTAATTCCACAAATGCCAATAAATTTGGAGTATTTGTCAGTATATAGCTTTCTCCGTATTGACAAGTAGTAATGGCTTCATAAGTATAGTTTGAAAATGCAATTTAAAATTGATATATAACCCAGAACCCTTTTAAATTGTCTTTTAGCATAGATAACTGATGGTGATTATACATGAAACAGTTATATATATGAAAAAAACAGTAATTAAAATCTCTGAACTGGTAATTTGATATGTAGGGAAAATGACAGTACCTGGGGCAATAACAGACAGCTAGAAAGTGCCCAAAATTTTTCAGACAAAGAAAATAAAGAAATGAAATATAACTTATTTATACATATTCATCAGAAATTGAAATACAATAAATTTGTCAGTTTATAAAAAAGGGAAATTAACATCTCAAATATTAAATTACTGTAATCTTAGGTTGCCATGGACAGGAGCAGATCCTGAACCTAAAATTGTAGAATATTTTAAAAATACCAAGTAAATATAAAGTGAATTTGAACCCTGAGCCAAATCCATGCATTATAAGCTGTCTGCAGTTGCCCTAAATCATCATGTTTAACTCTAATCAGTTTTGGAAAGGCACACATTATCCTATCTACATTTTGATATATGATAAATAAATAGCACAAAGCACATTATTATTCAAATTCAGAGAGATATCTAAAAAGTTAACATAATACATATGATAAATACTTAACTGAAGAGTAAAATCTTTCAAAAACAGCAGATTTTCAGCTGCACAAAACACGGATGAAAATACACAAACATAACAATGTCACTACTACATGGCTGAGAGGAATCATGATACAATGTGCTGCCAATCTTTTATGTTTTAGATTATTTCATGTCTGCTTATACAGGATTCCCCAGCCTTCCCTAAATATTCAAACTTGTGAGAAATGTTTGATCAGATTATAGATTAATTGGCAGAATATTGAATCAATTTCATGAAGTTCATGTAATATTTAACAATTTCCATCTCTTATGTTTATGACAATTTGTCTGTATAATTTGCATTAGGTTAATGGAACTTTCCCAAATTTTAGATAGTTTAGACTTTTACAATTAATTTTAAAATTTATAATTTTAGATTAGTTTGTACATTATATTGAAAATAAAAATGTTTATAAAATAAAATTTATTTTACTATATAATTGAGTGATTTTAAAAAAATTCTTTAACTATTTTTTTTCCATCTCTGATTATTAATCAATTTTGTATTTAATTATTTGTTAAAATATAGTTTTTCTTTTTTTTTTTATTAGATTCTATAAATATTAAGATTTTAAATGCTGGTGCTTGGGCAAGAGGTAGTGAGCGTGTACAGGTATCTTTACCATTAGAACTAGAAGATTTTATTCCTGAAGTAGAAGAATTTTATAGACATAAGCACAATGGTCGAAAACTACAGTGGTATCATCACATGTCAAATGGAACAGTAAGAGATATTTATAAAAATATGTAATTATTTAATTGTTAGATTAGATTAGAAAGTTGAAGGTATTTGTAAACCTTTTTATCTTTAATAATTATTATATTTTCAAAAAATATATAATTAATATGAATAATATATTTATATATAAAGTGAAAATGACTGATAAACATTATATTGACTGAAAATTGTAAGTAGCAATGCAAAAAATGAAAGAGAACAAATGCAGAAAAAACATGCCATAATTAAGTAATCTCTTCATCTCTGTTATTATTCATCATCATCATCATATCTATATATATATATATATAAATGAGAATGTTTGTTTGTTTGTACGCTATATAGTCTTAGGCATTCAACAATTGCTATGAAACTTGGCAGTTACGTTCACATACTTCTAATTTAAATAATGTCATATATCCCACCCAAAATATCGATTCAATTTCTATACATCAATAAATTTCTATCTACATTCAATTTGCTGGCTTTACACACAGTGCCATATATTGGCAAAAAATTTAATAAAATAATAAACTAAATATAATTCTTATAAAAAGGATATAGTTTTAAAATATATATATATATATTATATTGACTTAATTACTGTGACAGGTATCGTATAGCATTTGTCTGCATGGAATTGAAAGCGTTTTCCTATGAAAAGTCTATAAGTGTTTAATTTTCCACATCTAACAACTCAAGTTTTTTTCATTTCTGAATAATACTTTTTTAATTCTAATAAGAGCCCTCCAGTAGCTGAGTGGATAAAATCACCAAACACTGATAGTTAGTTAGTTGTAGGTACAGGCATCACCAACATAGAAAACTTTGTTGGTGATGCTTTCCACCTTGGAAAACTCCACCTAGCCAGTGGTGGCCATGTGGAGTTTTTCAGATTTTCTTTGCATTAGTAAAACCTTAATAGAGTCCAGCTTCCCATAAAAGTCTTCCTGAGATGCATCCCCCTTGGCAGATTGATCATGTGTCACATTGCCATAACCAAATAAACCAAATTAATTCTAATAAGTGATTATTTATAGTGACATCATCACAATGCTGGGCTGCAATTTTTCATCACAATGTTCTCAATTCTTTTAGTGGTGTCTTGTTTAGTGATAGTACATCATACTTTTCATGTTAGCAATAGAGTTGTGCCAGTTATCTATCTAACTTTGTTCAGGGGAAAATTTTGAATTGAAGTAACATGACTTCCAGTTCAAACCAGAAGTTTATATATAGTTAATCTGAGCCTCCTGCCCCTAAGCTTTACATATCTGGTCTCAACTTTTATCCATCTAACTCCTTTCTTGAGATTAAGGAAGAATAGACAGGCAGATGGACAGCAGTTGGAATTTATAGGTCTACATTTTTTAAAAACTGTAGCCCAGTAATTTTTCTATAAATGTGATATTTATGAGAACATACTTCCCACATAGTTTATACAATCTGTTGAAAAAATATAAAAACTTTATCATCATACAAAATTATTATTATAAAAATATCAATTATTCTTTCATTTTTATAAGATTATTTTTATTTAAACAAATCATATGAAGTTTTCTGGATGTTAAGGTTAGCAACTTCGATCACATGCAGGGCCATCATAACCTATCTAACATGGATCACTTTTCAAATATTAATAGTAGACCAGTATTAATTAGTAGGCTTGATTATCCTCTCTTCCAGGAGGAGGTCAACGACTACTTTTGGTCTAATTATTTCAACCCTCTTCTGCAACAGTCTTTTCTTTCTATTGGATCAGCAGTATGATAGCATTCGAATAGGAAAATTAAATAAGAGATTACCAGCTTGCACAAAATATGTTTTAAGTGGTTTTTGAGGGTGCCAAGTTTAAATATTTGGTTCGTTTTTTGTGAATTTGATTCATTGGCATATTACCATTTAATATTTGGCTGTGAATGGTACGGTTTCTTAGAGCTAACATTAGGAAAGAAATATGATATCTTAAAAATTTTTGATATCAAATTTTAAAATTGATGTCTACTTCATCAATGAAACTGTGTCGTTTTGTACCATCTGAGTATTGCAATAAACATGATAATGGTAGGCTGAAATAACCAAACTCTTTATATGGTTTTTGTTTTAATGTTTGTTATGTTATAGTATTTGATTTATATAACTACAAAAGTTATTTTGTGTAAGAGTTTATCATACCCAATGGCCAATCTAACACATTTTAAAAATTCTTTATTTCTCTACTGCACACAACTTAAAGAATTTTTAAAATGTGTTAGATTGGTGTGATAAACCCTTGCTTAAGATAAATCTTTGTAGTTATATAAATCAAATACTAAAATATAATATAATAGAAGGGTTAGAAGTACAAAATAATCGATCTTAATCTTTGTTTAAAAAACTGCAATGTAGCACAGTAATCAACACATGGCATAACTCATTCATTTATTCAAGCTTTTGTTGATCTGTTTAAAAACTGCAATGTAGCACAGTAATCAACACATGGCATAACTCATTCATTTATTCCAGCTTTTTGTTGAGACGCGTTTCTACACACATTTCGGGCTCTGTTTTTGCCCCTCCTCAGTCAACTAAAACATATAAAAACTAATTATATACATATTATAACCCGACATATGAATTAAAAAACGACAAAAATAAAAGTATATTTCGTTGGTATATACAAGTAAGACATAACATACCATTTTCTAAGTAAATTCCTTCTCTGGATGTATTTTTTTCCTTGAACGGGAATCATACTCTATATACTTGATTATTTCAGATACTAGGTTGAAGATTTAATCTTACTTCTTCATGCTTCAGACACAGATTGTCCTATTTAAACTCTACTATACTTTGAAGACTATAAAAACAACACAATTAGTGTACTTAACATGTAGGTATTAACAATATACAGGATTTTTTCTTACGTACTTAGTCACAGTAGAGTTCTTGAGGTGTCACAAAGGATTACAATGGACATATGGCAGAGTTCTTCTTTTTCCGTATGTTCCCTATAATTCTCCTGTCCTTATCCTCTTTGTATCTAATGAGCTTCTATCACATTTTTTCTTCTTTAGTATTTATATCGATACGAAGTAACTAGACTTCACTTTCTTAATTTTGTTCTTTCAACTCTTCGATTCTAGAGGCGTTTCATTCTATGATGATTTACATAATCATATGGTTTCTGGTAGGCAAGTTTTAATTATGTTTCGTATTTCTTTTAAATAGTACTCTAAAAGTATTTTGAATTTTTTCCTTTTTATTTTCCAAAAATTCTCCTTTTTTTCAAATAATTTTTCTTTCCAAATTCTTTTACAGTATTTTTAGCCAATTCTCGTTAATTTTTAAACTTAAGTTTTTATTTATACAATGTTTATTTTTTATAATTTCTATACTCTCTTTAAATTTTCTGTGATAAGTTTCTTTTTCTTTATGTAGGATTTTTACATTATTTTGGTCAATATTACAATTATTCAACGTGCAATGCTTAATCTTTGTCGTTTTTATTTTTTTGCCCAAGCAATGCCACGCTTATCTGCTTGTTATATATGTTTGATTATGATAGATAGATTGTAATGCAAGGATTTTAAAGTTATTTTCAATTTGTTCACAAAAACTTATAAAATAAACAACATAAAGAGATTTAAAAATAGAGATTTAGTCTTTTCTACATATTTTTTAATTTGCATAATGAGCAAAACAAATTTTAAAAATCTTGACTTGCTTAACAAGCAATGTTTGGCATTATGAGTGATAAGCAGAGGGAAAATTCCGGATTGTGCGCATGCTCCATCAGTCTGTGTTTAGCACTCATTCTGCTAGCATCTTAGTGTTGCTCATGATCACACATTTTTCCAAACTTGTGTTCACAGATATTACATATAAACATCTACAATCATAGCCCGTTTTATAATAAACATGCCATCTCATACTAAATTTAATGACCATTCCAAATTAAATTTTAAAAATGTCTAAATTAAAAATTAATTATTTATAATTATTAAATTTAATACGAAATGGCAGCATAATTGCCTACTTCTAGTCAAATTAATTAATTTCTAATATTTAATTATAGCCTTTACATAGCCCAAGAATTTGGCATATCGTTTGGTGTGTTTATCAGATATATTATCTGTTATCTGATTTTTTTTGTTTTCTGCAAATCGAATTTGCATTCCAGGTTGGTTCATTCCATGCTAGAAGAAAAGATGAAGATGATTTATGCTTCTTAACAATGTATATTGTGTAATTTTCTTTGAATAAACATTATACATAAAACATTTGAGTATTTTTTCGACATGGAATGCATTATCTTACTTTACATTAATATCTATGGGAAAAATTGTTTCACTTAACTAGTTTTTCGCATTACAAGTAAGATTCTGGAACAAATTATGCTCGTTAAGAGAGGTTCCACTGTATTTCTCTTTAATTAAAATTTTTGATTGTGATAAACATAAATAGAATATAAATATAGAGGACTAATCATCTGCCAATAACAAAAATAAGTCATGTAAACAATATTAATATTAAATTCAATTGATATTAAGCTGCTAGAGTTGACTTAATAACTACTGTAAAAAATAAAACATTCACAGAAATAATGAAATTAAATTTCTACAAGATTTGGAATTTGTAAATTTCTATTATACCCTGTTTAATTACAATTCATTTTTCATCTAGGTCTGCAAACACAAAAATATACAAATACTCTGTGAAAATAGAATGTCATAGTCACTTCCATAAAAATGGTTTATTAGATAGATAATATCTTAGGAAATGGAAAGAATATATTCAGTTTGATATTTCAATATTTGGTTTAAGATAGATTGAAAAGCAACTGGTCAACTTACCATCTTTAAATTTCATATTTTACAATAGATTTGATATATTACATTAGTTCAAATTGCTAAATGGAATGGAATATTTGTACCTTGTCTACATTTATAATTTTCTCAACTTGTTCGTATTTTAAATATATCATGAATATGTTACTTAAATTTTCAAGAAAGGATTTAAACTAAAATAGCCTGTTTATTGAAATAGCATTTTTCATACAGTTCATACTTTTCTATATATAATTCTTTAGATGAAAAATTGAACATTCATTAAATAGATTATCTTATAATTTACATCTAAATTTAGTTTTTTTTGCAAGTAGGAGAAATGGAGAAATACCCGAGTTTTGTTTGTTTTATTGTCACAAATTTATATTCCTTTTTAAATATATTCTAAATATCTTTCTAATTTTATAATTATTTATAAATTCAGCTAATAAATCTTAAAGTTGATTAGAATCTGAATGTTATGTCTCTGATAATGGAAAAAATTTATTTTATTTTGGAATAAAAAGTCTATATTTTTTATAAACATTTTAATCCTAACTTGATCTGAAACTTCTAAAATTTTCAGTGATGTCAATGACTGATGATACATAAAATTACTAAGGTGAAATGTAATGTCTTCCAAAAGATTTAGATAAGTTTCTATCTATATTTCTTAAATATTTTACTATTTACATGGATTATAAAGATGAAATCATAGAATTAAAACATTACATTAATAATTTAATTTTTTATAGACAATATATAGAAACTTATCTAAATCTTCTTTTCAAAAGTTATATACTTAATCTCAGCATACTTATAACTTATTAGAAAATATTTTGATGTGTAATTAATTCAAAATTAAAAAGAAATAGCAAACTATTGTTTCCTATAAGATAGTTATGGTAGTTTGATATCTAATATAAATAGGAAAAGAATACAAAGACTAAACTATATTTTTATTTAGTTAAATATTGCATATTTAATAGTAAAAATATGTAATAATTAGGATTGTTTTATTTTTTATAGATTTTTATCATTTAATAATATTATTCTTATAGATTGCATTTAGTAATATAGCTGGAAAATTTGACTTGGATGTTACTACATTCCAAATGGCTGTATTATTTGCTTGGAATCAAAGACCAAATGATAGAATATCATTTGAAAATTTAAGATTAGCAACCGAATTGCCAGATGCAGAACTTAGAAGAACTCTATGGGTAAGTTTACATAACTATACATTAACAGTTTAAAACTTAAATTATTTTAAATTTTGCTGAAATATTACAGAAGAAAATAAAAAAATTTATAGAAAAATGTTAACTGATGAAATTCTAAGAAAACATTTTTATCTTTTTAATAAAATCAATATTTTGTTTACTTTCAGTCTTTAGTAGCATTTCCTAAATTAAAGCGGCAGGTACTTATATGTTCTCCAGATGCTAAAACACCAAAGGATTTTGATGATAGTACTCAGTTTTGGGTAAATCAAGAATTTGCTGTCATGTATGTATATTTTATTTATAATAATCTATACTACTATATAAAGAGACAACGTATTTTTCGTTTGGGACCACTAACCGTGAAAACTACTGAACCAATTGTTACCAAATTTTAACTGTAGCATCTTTATGATCCCAGAATGTTAACCACTAATCAAACCTACAGATTTTTCATTAATTAAATAAAACTGCAACAGATTTTTGTCTGTATTTCTCACTCTCTTCACTAGATGGCAACACTTTCTGTCTATAAGAAAAGTCTATTATTGAAGTTTACTATTATATTTGAAGAACTGACATTAAATTATAATTAGTTAATTAGCAAAATCTTTGAGGAATTAAAAGAGTGACGTCGTCATGCTAGATGGCAGTATGTGTACTTATGGCTGGTTTTCGAATTGTTACGCATTAATTTCTGCAGGTAATCATACAAAATATTTGAAATAGTTATTGGATTTATCTCAAGTGAATATTTTTGATATTGATTGATAAATAATGTTGAGAGCTGCAAGAGCACAAAAAGGAAGAAAAAGTTCTAGAGCTATTATTGTTCATAATTGTAGACAATGTGAATCTACACAGAGCAGTCTCAAAGACTGGAAGAGCAACAAATTCATTTGGCTCAGAATCAAATTTATATAGCGAGGAAATTTTTAGGTTTCAAATCAGTTTTTGATTGTCATCCTGAAAATGACTATTTGGATATGAAAGAGGTAAAATAATCAAAATATGTGATCATTGTTTTGCCAAAAAATGGTATGATGAAACTCCTGGACGTTGCTGTGCTGCAGGAAAAATTGTTCTTGAACAATTTGAAGAACCTCTTGATTTCATTAAAAATTTGATTTAAGGAACAGATCCTCTTTCTATACATTTCTTAAACAATTCTAGTCAGTACAACACACTATTTCAAATGATATCATTTGGAGCCAAAGAGAAGGGAATTTCATGCCTACTTTTAAAATCCAGGGTCATTTATCATTTGATTTGCAGTTTACTTCCTGATCCAGAAGACACTCCTCAATTTTTACAGATCTATTTCATGTCTGAATCTGACCAGATATTAGCCTAATCGAATATAAATCCAACTTTGAAAAGGGAACTCATTGAAAGATTGCAGAAAATCATGCAAGATAATAATAATCTTATTCGGAGTTTCAAAATTACAATGTGGATTTTCTACAAATAATTAATGAACAATTAGTTCAAATTTTTGAAGTTCTATATATATAAGAGCAGGCGAGGCCACAATGGGGAATACTAGTAAAATATATAAAAATAGTTAAAAAAAACATTTAAATATGACATTCTTCATTTAATACCAGTAATCCATTCCCAAAATGCAGATATATGATGGGGGAACATTGGGAACCTATTTCTCAATATTTTACATGAGATAAATTATAATGCAATGCAGTGTCAAATATATGATGATAAGAAACCATAAGATAAATTGCAGCAACACTTTATTTGATATACAAATGTTTTCAGCCTGCTTAATAGTCCTGTTTCATTACAACATTTAAATCAAAACTCAATTATTAAAAACATAAATGAAATTCACTCAAGAACTTTGCTGTTTTTGATGAGTTTTCCCTACTTTATCTAATTTTTAACTATATATTTCCTCAATTTCTTTTCTTTCCTGTGTACTTCAGTTATGTGTATCCACTGCATCCTTGGTCTCTCTCTATTTTGATTTTTTCCAATCTCCATGTTTATTAGCCTTCTAAGGTAACCTTCATTTCTTCTTATGACGTATCACAGTTTTCCTTCTTGTATTTTGTTAGCAATATCACATAATAATAACCTCAAATATATTCATTTTTTTTTTAATTAGCTTTTGTTACTCCTACATTCTTCTAAACATCATTATCACTGCCATTTACTTTTTTTTATGTTAGCTTTTTCAGGATTAAGTTCTCTGTTTCTTGGGTCAGGGGTGGGCAACCTTTTCCTATGTAAGGGCCACATTTCAAGACTTTTAACTGATGTGGGCCACATACAAGAGAAACGAAAAAAAAAAAATTGTCAGTAAATCACAATTATTTATTCATATATAATTATAAATTAGCATGGGTGTACTTAATTTAGCTTCTGGAACCGATGTAAACGTAATATATCAGAAATATTTGGTTAACCTTTCAACAGTGGAATAGTCAGATATGGTGCTACTCCTTAGTATTGGAGAATAAACATGCAAAATTTTTAGTGTTTTTCCACGCATTTTTTTCTCATTAGAAAATCTTTTTCTGAAACAGTAAACAGTTATGTGTAGTAAAGAAAAGTCTTTTTTTTATTGTTACATAATTCATTTTTTATGTGAATTTTTTTTTTGCAGTAGTTTTAGGCTAGTTTTTGGCGATACCACCCAAAAGAATTTGATGTATATATTTGTCCTTCACCACTGCCACACGATCGCCCTTGACAAATATATTCGTCGCTCACTGCTTAGTGGTTAAATATTAGTCACTGATAGTTTTAAATTAGTTTTGATGAGTCTGTTAGCAGGTTTCTTTTTTGAATTTTTGCTGCATACTTCCTTAAACTGGGAAATTAATACATTTATTCATATTTTATGTAACGCGGCTGCAAAAAATATTAATGCAGGCTGCATGTGGCCCAAGGGCTACAGGTTGCCCATCCCTGCCTTAGGTTATGAATGGTTGCACAACTGTAATTGTACTTCTTCAACTTACTTGTTATTTTCCTATCATACAATATTCCAGACCAGCAGTTCTCAACTTACTTTTATCATGAAACCTCTTCACGTTAATAAAAAATGTTGGAACCATGATAATTTTTCATGATTTAGACAAAATAGCAAATAGAAATACCAAAAACAATTTATTGAAAAAAAAAAGATTAATAATGAAAAGCAAATATTATTACTTGATTCAAACTGGTCATTAATGTGAAGGGTTAAACTTTTTTTCTTTCAATATTTTAAACAATGCTATTGCCTGGATTTGTACTTCGTTTGTATCTGTCGTTTCAGTCTCCTTTCACTAGAAACATTTGAGGTACTTGCTACATTTTTCTTGAAATGTCTTCTCTCAGTCAACAATTTGTGATTTTTTAATTTGGGGTATACACAATATTAAAAGCACTATAAATTTATGATTTCCACTATATTTTTATATGAAAAATACTTAAAATAAAAAATGATTGCAGAGAAAAACCTAATAATCTTTGATTGATATACCTGCTTGTATGCTGCATTGTTGCACTACAACACACTACAGATGATGGGACATTAATTAACCTCTACTCTCGCAGACATATCATTACACATTATCTTAATTTTACAAACTTCTTGGACACATTCTTGTTTTTCGTGTTGTACCAGATTATATGTCTGAACATGTCATAAGTCTTCTCTATATTGATGGAAGTCAAATACAGTTTCTATTACTTTATCCTAAGCTTCCCCATTGTCTGTTTTAGGTCAAAAATAGCAGCTACAGTTGATTTTCCTGGTATGAAACCAAACTGTTTTTTTTTTCTATAGCTACCTCTTTTTTCTATAGCTATTTCTAAGTCTTTTGTCTAGGATTCTTTCCGTATTTTTATTATATATGATAGAAGTTTTATGCTTCTATAGTTTTTGCTGTCTTGCACATCTTTTTCTTTGAAGATTGTGATTACTATAGTACTTCTACTCATCCAGTATCTTCTCCTACTGATATACTTTTTCCATCAAATTAAGTAAAACATAATATAGCATGTATATGAGTTCCTATCTATCATATTAGGATATAAAATGCTGTATACATTACTTTCTGATCACTAAACAGTTGATGTCAAAAATGAAGATAGAAAAGAATGTTAAAAAAATAAATTTCCTTTTTTTAAATTACACTTTAGAAAAAATTAGAGAAAAATGAAATATTAGAAATTTCAAAAATAGAAATTGATTATATATATTGAAAATCTGAAATAAAAAAGTAACATCATTATCATTATCTAATAATTACAAATAGAGAGGTCAACAGATATATAAGTTTTTAACTATATTATACATTTTATATTTAACTTTTTTAGCTTTAAACTTACATTTTTTGCTGTAAAACTTAAATTTTTTTTAACTTTAAAAAAACATATCAAAATAGTAATTTAAATTGTATGTTTAATTTTAATGATTGATAATTATATATTTTTATTTAAAATTTTTATAGTATAAAGAATTTTTTAAAATAATTACGTTTTTTTAATTACTAGAAAAAATGGCAAATTGCAGAAGCGTGGTAAAGTCAATTTAATTGGTCGTTTACAATTATCAACAGAAAAGAGTAAAGAAGAAGACAATGAGAGCATTGTTCAGTTGCGGATATTGCGTACACAGGTAAAACATCAATTATACTTATTAATTAATCATATTTATCATATATGTTTTCAGTAATAATCTATAATTCATTTTATGATGATGGAGTCAGTAATTTCATGAGAAAGATACTAATCTTTTTCTTTCCTTTTATTATTTTTCAGCCACATTCAGAAATTGAGAATATTGGGTGATCATAATTAAATTACCTATTTTCAACACTGGTTAGAGAGAAATTTAACAGTTCAAATGTAACCAAATCTTATATGATGACTAATCAAGACAAGCAGAAATTTCTGGCTTCTGCATGTTCTGCACTGAAAACAAAAATTACTACCAAAGCTCACTATAACATTTTTTTGGCACTACAAGAAAAAACGTTTTATTTTTACAAAACACTCTTGCTATAGAGAAACTGACAGGATACTGTTTAATGTACTCTATTCTGCTATTCTGAAAGTATAAAAACCTGAAAGTGATAAGTGGTTGACCATAATTGATTCTTTATGATGCTTCTCACATGCACTGTGAAATTTTGCAGCCTTTCAAGGCTACAAAATTTGCAACGTATCCTCAATAAATCAAGTGTCCTCATAACTAAAAATTGCATGGATTAAGATCCAGAGTATGAGGGCGTCAGATGATAGGAAGTATACAACTGATTACTTGTTGTTGTTGAAATGTTGCATCAGATGCTGCATACAGCTATTTCTGAGACATGTGTATCCTAAGCTTCCCCATTGTCTGTTTTAGGTCAAAAATAGCAGCTACAGTTGATTTTCCTGGTATGAAACCAAACTGTTTTTTTTTCTATAGCTACCTCTTTTTTCTATAGCTATTTCTAAGTCTTTTGTCTAGGATTCTTTCCGTATTTTTATTATATATGATAGAAGTTTTATGCTTCTATAGTTTTTGCTGTCTTGCACATCTTTTTCTTTGAAGATTGTGATTACTATAGTACTTCTACTCATCCAGTATCTTCTCCTACTGATATACTTTTTCCATCAAATTAAGTAAAACATAATATAGCATGTATATGAGTTCCTATCTATCATATTAGGATATAAAATGCTGTATACATTACTTTCTGATCACTAAACAGTTGATGTCAAAAATGAAGATAGNCAGAGTATGAGGGTGTCAGATGATAGGAAGTATACAACTGATTACTTGTTGTTGTTGAAATGTTGCATCAGATGCTGCATACAGCTATTTCTGAGACATGTGGAGATGCCCAATTTTTGCATGAATGTGATTGATTCATGGTATGTTGCTGTGTGAAAAATGTTCTGTAATAATTACAAAATGTTTTTCATGAAGAATATTGGACATATCAATAAAGGATATTAATTAATTTGGTGTGATGACAACTGCACAACTTGATTATCAATTTTTTTGCAGATAGAGTCTTTTACCTTTGGGTGGTAAGCATCTCTTAGTATATCTGAGCCATCACAGAGCCTGTTACAAGCTCATTGGGACTAGCTTCTTTGAAAAAAATGGTTTAAAGGATAAATGTGGTTGTGAATCTTCACTAGAGTGTAACTTTAAGCAAGTGCAGTAGTATCTTGCTGGAAAACATAAGGATTTCCATGAGTCAGATGCAATAGTTGTTTGTGTTCACTGAGGTGAAAATGTGCATTACTTCTCCACAGAATCTTCTTTTTGGCTATGACATATCCATTTTATTCTGGCAAGAAAGTTTAATGTAGAAAAATATCAGTCTGGTTCCCTGTTGACAACAAACAGTTGCTGATGTGACTGATAACAACACCAACTTTCTCAGTGGTTTCCACTGAGAAAGTTGGTATACCATAGGATACACTCAACTGCCATGACACTGCATGTGCTCTATGAGAATCTGTAACATTAGTTTTTGATTGTTCAACAATGGCTGTGGTAAGATCTTCAACAATTTGTGAAGTTATAAGTTTGTGCCCTCAACCAGGTGTCCTCCCACACATCCAGTTTTCTTGAATCAATGATCATTTTCCTGAAAACTTTTAGAGCCTTAGTGTAAATTGTTACAATGATGGAATATCCAAAGTGCATCCATAGCATTGACATTGTTTTTGTAAAACAACTAAACAAGATATGTATGTTCCAGAAAGATGATGACCATTGTAGCTAACAAAAATGATATTTAATAGATATGATCACCTTTACATCAAGAACTCACTGCGACATCTGCTCATGCAAAGAAACTGCTTTTCATTGTTTTCAGCATCAAAACTACTGTAATAGTGAGTTTTTGGTACTAATTTGTTTTTACAGATGTCTTCTGCCCTTAAATGTTACCATACCAAGTTTGGTTGCATTTGGACTGTTAAATCTCTCTAGACAGTATTGAATAGAGATACTTTAATTACAGTCACTATAAAAGTTAAAGCTACTTTTTAAAATACCAATTCTGTTAGTGGATATTCTTCATTATATAGGATGAATAGATATGAATATATAGCAAGTTTAGCTTTTTTAAAATCAAACATCTTTTTCTTCAATAAGTTTTGTGGTCTATATAGTTACTGTACAAATTACAATAATTATAGTCTAATATTTAATTAATTATTACAATAAATAATTTATATTTATATATTTGAAAATCATAAAATTAATACAAATAATTTTTAATTCTAGGAGGCAATAGTTAAAATAATGAAAATGAGGAAAAGAATTACAAATGCTCAGCTACAAACAGAATTAGTAGAAATACTTAAAAATATGTTTTTACCATCCAAAAAGATGATAAAAGAACAAATAGAATGGCTAATAGAACATAAATATATGAAACGTGCAGAAGATAATATTAATGTTTTTATTTATATGGCATGATTTAAATATATTGGTGATTTGTTGAAAATTATTCTCCAATCAATTTCAAAATGCTGGACTCAAATTGGCAGTTTCCTACATTCAGACTATGTAATTTTCAACAAGAATTATTTCATTTAGAAGTATAAATATGATATAATATGTACACTTAAAAATATATATACTTTTTATTTAATGATGACATATTGTTCCTGATTTATGCAGTCATCAATATAAGATTAATTTGCAAGAGAAATCAAAAATCTTCAGTTTGTTTAAAATGCCAAAAATAAAGTGGATTGACTGTTTAGTTGCGGACGCAACAAAAATGTTATCGGCCGAAAGATCGCATAAATGCCATGGTAGACGAAGTTATTGGAGAATTGTACATCATCATCGTCATCTGTCCAAAACTTTACTTTTATCATCACCATATTATGCCTTCATCTGTAGATAAAAATGAAAATATAACATTTTAAAATTAATTTTTCTTATTATATGTGCTATAGAAAACAAACAACATATTCTCAAAAATATATATACATAATTTCGTTATTTTCATTTAATTGAATGGACATAGGCAATAAATTATTAAATATGTATATACATTATGAAAATATTTTATCAATCATTTTGAATATAAATGATATGTTTATCATCCTTACATATTTCAGTTTTTTACAATGTTAAATATGTTGGTAAAGATAAGAAATTAGTTTTATTTTTGAAATTCATAATAGTTATTACTTCCTTTTATTATTTTCAAGAAATTGTCTAAATTTATGTAATATTGAAAAAGATAAATATTAATTTTCTATGAAATAATTACATTTAGATTTGCTAATTCATGTAAAAAAGACAAAAGAATTAGGCAGCTTTCATTTAAAAAATAAATTTCTTAACAAAATTATTGTTTGTAAAATTGAAAATGCACAGATAATTAAATATGCCATTATTTATTGTCTTACTTTTTATAAAATTCCTTATAATTACTACTGTCTATTATTATCATTATTATTATTTTTTTAAATATAAAATTTACTGAAAATCAGCTTGTAGTAATTATTGAAATATATTTTAAAAAGAATGTTGGAAATAAGTTTTTCTGTTAGGGAATTTATTAATATTTTTTAATGTAAAAATAATTTAATACTGTTCATTTAATAAATTGCTGAAAGCGCAGATTTATCTTGTTGAAAGAAATGTCTTTTTTTTCCTCTCTGCTTTTTAACAGAATCCATGGGGCATATCACAAAAGTAAGTGAGAATCTTTTATAACAACTTAATAACAAATTAAATTATCTTGGACTTGTACATTCTAACAGCTATTTTTATACAGTTACTCTATTATTTTCTAAACACTTTTCCTTGTGGGTGATAAGGGAAAAATTTTGGACTATGCACAGGGTGATCCATTACTTTTCATCCAAGTCTGAATTCTGTGATATATTACAGAGTTGCATTATCATGCAGAAACCTTACCATCCTGCATGTAGTCTAGACTTAGCACCCTTTGATTTTTACTTTTTTTGGATCTCTTAAGAAACATCTTGATTGCTTACACTTTTCAGATGATGAAGTTAATGATTTTAAAAAGTTCATGACTTGATCTTTAAGTGGAAAATTTTTCAGAAATGAACTTTTGCTCTTAAGGGAAAAGTGCTTAGGAAAGAATGGCAACTATGTATAAAAATAGCTATTACTAAATTAGCTTGAACTGTATACTTTAAAAAATTATATTAGTTTAGACTATGTATTGAATGTAATTTGATGTTAAGTTGTTATAAAATATTGCTCCCTACTTTTAGTAGTGTAGTTAGTAGTTAGCCTCATAGTAGTTTTACTCATATATTAATCACTTTTTTATAAATTCATGAATATAGAAAAGACTTAATTCAAAATAATAACCATTAATACAATCTATATTTAAAGCTTCAACATTACATATGTAACTAACTGTTACCCGCGACTTCGCCCACAGAGGTTTTGCAAGCAAACCCCATTTATATTCAGTATTTCAACAACCATAGTAATTGTTATATAACACCTATTGCCGAGAATGATGAGAATTGCTGAGAATCAAACAAACAATTTTCAATTTGATCAATTTTCTGGAATGTTTACAATCGTTCTATAATCAAACTGATATGCAATAACAAATTTGAATTTAAAAAGGTTCGAACATTTGGTTAAAAAATCGAAATATATAAAAATATTTATAACAATGTCTGAAATGTTATTAATTTAATACACTTAAGTACTTAATGAAGACTAAACATAACAAAAAATCGCATGTAAAATAGTACAGTAGAAGCCGTTCTTACGGTTAAGCCTTAATGCTTTCCCTCTCCCCCGCTGGGGAATTTCGAAAAATCCCTTCTTAGTGTGCGTTCCCATGGGATACCCTACTAAAACACAGATAAAAACAAAAATTCACATCTAAAATAGTACAGTAGAAGCCATTTTTCCGGTTAAGACTTAATCTTCTCCCTCTCCCCTGCGGTGGAATTTCGAAAAATCCCTTCTTAGTGAGCATTTTCATGATGTACCCTAACTGTGTACCAAATTTCACCTCTTTAGATTCAGTGGTTTGCTCTGGGCAATGATGAATCAGTGAGTGAATGAGTCAGTCAGGACAAGCAATTTTATATATATAGATGATATATAATTTTTTATTATGAAATTTTGGATGTAATCTACCCCTATTTCAAGTTATTCCACTGTAAAATATACTATCATTGACAAAAATTTTACACACTGAAGAGGTGATATTGGAGTTAATAAAACTTTATTAGAACAAATGGTGATGATCAGAATACAATATCATTGCAAAAGAACAATTTCCTATGCAATAATAGTACAGTTTAAAGCAACCTTCAGTACTTTGTGATACAGTAGAGCCCCAGAAACGTGACTCTCAATAAATCAACATTCTGTAAAACTCATGTTTTTCTTTCTTTCTTTCTTTTTTTTTTTTTAACAATACAATCTAATTTTTACCTGTATAATTTAATACTAGGAACAAATAAGTTATTATTCATCACTGGAAACACTCAATAACAACAACAATTCCATGTATTAACAATGAATATAACCTTTTACCAAGGTACCACAACACACATCTTGAATGCTCACTGTGCCATCAATGTCCTTCACACTAGTAAAAGGAGTAACCAACTGTCATAAGAGAGGGCTTCCCAGGCCAGCAAAGAAGAATGGAGGCAATGAGCTGCACAACAGTAAAGGTAGGATTGAATATCGTACCAGTGGTCTTCCATTTAACATGATGATCATTGCCCCAAAGAGATCAAGGAGCAAAGATGATATGCTACCATTTCTTAGCAGTCCATGCTTCTCTGTCAAGACATCACTGCAGACAAAGCTGACTACGGAGTTGCTAATAGCAGGACACAAAAAAATTTTGATAGGTCTTATTTGATTATTCAATTTTTGTTAAATCAATAGATATGATTTCTTGAACTAGATTTAGCAAATCAAGTTCATCAAATTTTAGTTTTAGGATGCTACCCTTCAGGAAAACTAGGAATTTGAGTGCCTGGAATTTCATTATATACAGTGCTCTTTTTTATTTTATAACAGAAATATTTTAAATTGAAACGTTAAATGTAAAGATTTATGAAGAGACATAAATAGCAAAAAATATCTGTTAATGGTCAGATCATTAATGTTATGACTATTTCTGGAAGTTTTGCTAACATTTTATCTTCCAGCTTTCTACTTATCATTCATTTTTCATAGAGTATTTTGCATTTCTTTCAGTTTGTTTGAATAAATCTATTGAAAATATACTTCACTGTAATTTTTTGAGATTTTTATTTTTATATTCAATTCATATTTGTATAAATGCATTAATTTGCTTCAGTTTTCACAATAGAAGATAAAAATTTAATATTTTATAAAAAGTAACCTTTCAAGGTAAATGTTAGTTTTTTCACTGAACCAGTAGTCTTGTACTGTAGACTTATACATATTTTTCACTTTTGACTGTTCTGTGGGCACTAAGAGTATCATCCCAAACAACTTGGTACTAAAGTTGAGCAAGAAGTCCTGGAAAAATTTTCTAACTAGTGAATTAATAAATTATATTATTGTAAATATTTCAAGTGTTAAACTATTTAATTTAAAAAGTGTTTTACAGCATTGACAAAATGTCTTATAGCAGGAAATGTGAAGAAAAACATGACTTACAGGAAGTAAAATGAAACTGGCTGGAAGATTGAAACTGGAAAAGCAAAGTGAAAAATGATGCTAAAAATGTAATATCTGACATAGAAACACAATTGCCCATGTAAGTAATTTGTCAGGTAACAAATTTATGAATTCTAAATTTAATGCTACACTATTAATTACAATAGAGAATTTCCATTCTTACATGGAGTACTGCTAGTGTGAAGAAAACTCTACTCATCTACTCACTGAAAATTCAGACAAAACAGGGAATTCACAAAAATGTGTGAGAAAGTAAATTTTATCTCCAAAATGAGGATATGCCTGAATGAGGACATTGCAATTTTACATAAAGAATTTTGATTGATCAAATATAATCATCTAGAATAACATTATCATCATGTACAAGTAAAAAACTGCCCTGCAACAAATGTTAAAACATGAGTATACACTACAATAAATTAGTATGTTCCCCTAGTGCTTTTTGTTTAAAAAGATGTACTAACTGTGTAAAGTATATCTTTTAATAAATAATAATCAATAAATATGTAAAATCTTAGTGTCCATAGAATGGAAAGAGTCCTGAACTAGAGAGAACTTTTTCAGACCCACAACCAACTGGTTATGGGTTTGAAAAAGTTCTGTCTAGTTCAGGACTCTTTCCATTGACAGGCCCAATGTTTGGGACAGACTCTACAAAAAAATTTCCAACCTGATCCTCAAAGAGGTAGGCTAACATCTTTACTGCCTTACCATCAGGCTGTCAATCTTTTAATATTTCAAGATGTTAGCTTGATTGATTACATCATAATGTATTCTGTGTTTTTGTTTATATTTGGCAACCCTCTGACCAAAAAGAAAATGAGATAAATGAGCATCCAACTTATTAATCAGTAATATGATAATTATTTCAACAAAACATTCCTAATTTTATCACACCAATTAATGGTGAGCCTAACAGACATGTAACACACTTATTGCAACCGAAAACTGTTGTGTGTGTTGAATTATGTAACAGATATAGTTGGGCAGATCTAGGTTTTTTGGGGCCTAGGGCTTATTGAAGTCCAATTGGGCCCTATTTTTACCAAACCTAACCTAACCTATTAACTATTTTTTACTATACAATAAGTGCTCATTGTTAGTGAAAAAGTATTAAAAATATATGATGATAATTCAATTTTTGTAGGCCCTTGACACTTGGGGGCAAGGGCTTAAGTTATATTAGTCCAGGGGTGGCCAACCTTTTGCATACCATGCGCCAATTTTTTGATAGACGAGTTCAGATGTGCAGTGGCGTACCGTAAGTATTAGCAGCCCGGGGCGGAGAAAAATTTCGGCCACCCTTTAATTAGGTATTTCAATTTATAAGACGAAAATTCAGATTTGCCACAGAACAAGCAATGAAAAATGCGGTTGTAGTGCAGCTACCCGTATAAAATAGTTCTATATGACATCAGTGGTGTACATGAACACGAATGCATCGTGTAACGTACAAGCAAAAAAAAAGGTCAACAGGTCGATTGCACCGAGTTGCGTATGCAATGAAGCCAAATCTAGCAATGTTGCTCGGAACCGACTGAAGCGCCACTTGTAATCGTCCAATGTGCCAAGTTTTGGCCACCCCTGTATTAGTCTCTACGTAGATTTGCCCCTGGATATGGTGAAAGAATTTATCAATTTAACATAGACTAATAATAATATAACAATTCTTGTCTTTAAAATATTTGGAAAATTAAAAATGATTGATTGATTAAAGTTTAATAGGAAGGATAATTGATGGAAACATACAGTTGGAACCTGGTTAACTCAAAATAATTCTCCCCTCCCGATTGTCTAGCATAGGAATTTACATGTTAAGTCTAAAGGGGATTTGATACACATTTTCATACATTCTCTGTTATTTTAATTTAGATAATATAATTGATTAAATGAAAGTTCATTCATGGAATAAACTAAACTTTCTATAAAACGGAACCATGTGACTGTGACTAAAAATAACGTTGTGAGAAATGACAGCTTACTGATTCCAGACAGGTTCGAATGGGTTACAGTTGGTCAGACAGCATGTCTGACCTACTGTAACCCATTCGAATCTGCTTTCTTCAAACTTTGATTGCTGATGGCTTTCTCCAATAATATATAAGAAATAAATAAATGGATTTTTGATAAATCAATCCAAACAACATCCAAGATGTAAAACAATTGCACCAAATAAAGAATTATGACAATTTGGATGACAGTCAAATTTTTTCTTAGGAGTTTTCTTTGGTAAAGATAAGCTTGGTGCTTATGCCATCCAAATTGTCAATGGTTTACATCTTGAATGTTTCTGTTTTGTAATTAATTGTTTTTTGGTCAATGATTGCATTATTACATCAAGATTCAAGACAACAATGATCAGTGCAATTGTCACCGACTGAACTCTTTTAATACACCATTAGTAAATTGTTATAAAAAGTTTTAATTAGCATAACTTTGACCCATTGAACCAGAAGTTCCATGAACAGCTCACTGATAATGAGAAAGGCTTAAGTTTAAAATTTGATCTTTGTAGACCAAGTAGTTTTTTTTTCATTGGGCTTTGCAGACACTTGGAAAATACAGCTTTTTTTGGCAATTTTTGCACTGTTTGATTGCTTATATTTTGGCAACCCCCCTTATAGAAAAACCTGAAATTTTGCACACTACCTGAGAAAACAAAGTAATTCTGAACAACTTGTTCAAAGGATGATTGTTTTTAGATGTTTGTGGTGGAGAAATCAACAACTTTGACTATATATATACATACACATACATACCACACAGGAATCGTTAGTCAGTGACTTATCCACTTGGTGCAGTGTTACTGCTGTGACTCCCGATTTAAAAAACCTATTTTCAGATGTTATGCAAAAAGCTGCCTGTTTTCAGCAAAATTTTAAAAACAATTGAGTAGTTGTTCATGATAAACAGATGGATTCTAGGTGCAAAGTTTGGAATGAATATTCAACCATTTGGCAAAGCATCTCAGTAGCTTAATCATCTGATTAGGCATTTTAAATAGAGTTTTGGACAACACCAAGAGGTTTACATTGACACAATTATTCTATGTAATGAGACCCACGGAAATATTGTATGGATAGTTTATTAGGGGTGATCAATAAACCAATGCACAAAATCTTGCTTTTTAGTTGAACCTCCATTTGAAACTTTTTAACTCAAAATTTTTTCCCAACTGATTTGAGTTAACTGGGCTCCTCTATCAAATTCATAAGTTAATAACATTAGGAAACATTCATTCTGTAAATAATTGTTTAGTCTGAATTTTCAAAGTTCATGATCTCTGCCATTTTAACATGTTTTATATTTTCTTAATCCTTCTTGTTAGTTTTCTCTCAATCATTCCTTTAATATGCTAGTGTTGAATTTTATTGATATAATCAACTGCAATTCACCAGTGATTAGAACTTTGAAATGCAGCCAAATGAGAATGGTTATGATGTGATGTAACAACTATTTCTATTGAATATCTGTCACTGCAATTGACTACAGAAGTCATTTCATATGTTATGTCTCAATTTTCTGCATATATAAGTTATTAAAGTGAAAAGTCTAATTTATTGCAAGAAAATATGTATATTATGATTTTAATCAGTCAAACAAAAATTAAGTATTTTTTAGGTTGTATTTAAATAAAATTTTCAAAATTATTTTTGTATATCACAATATGGCTTAAGTTTAAAATTTGGACAGTTCTGATCAATTGCTCTTGCTTCAAGACAGTTATGTCAAAAAACTGAAAATAGTTCATCTTGTAACTTTAGTCCATGCTATATATTAAATACTAGTAGACCCAACCACGCTTGTTATACATTTATAATAGATACATTTTGAGCCACAACACTTCCCCGTGGGGGGATTTTTCGAAAAATCCCTTAGTGTACATTTTCTTGACGTACCCTATTAAAACGCAATCAAAAATGCAAAACACCATATCTTAAAATATATAATCTAGGTTAAGGCTTTTACGTCCAACAGATGGCACTACAAGTACAACACCCTAAGTTTGCTTTTCTGTGAGGATGAACTAAAGCAGATGATCTTCTATCTAGCTATATAAGTAAAAATGTAATGTTCATTTGTTCCTACCAATTCCTTTGAAATTTTGACACAATGCTGCATTTGAATATGCACGTGTTTTTATATAATATAAATGTTGAAATCCCCCCGGGAGATGGACAGGATTAAGGCTTACTGCAAAGAACTCTGCTTCTATTTATACTATTTTAATTTATATGAATGTTTAACGGAATAATATACAGCCTATGTCCACCCTGAGGTTCCATTCTAAATATTGGTGAAAGAATTTTTGAAATCAGAGTAGTTTCAGAGATTACCTGCTGCAAACTTACAAACATTACCTCTTTATAGTATTAGTATAGATAATTCCACATAATTTTAAATGGACAAAGTTACAATTTTCTATTTATTCATTCTTAACTTTTAAATGCTCTATTATTTTTCTTCAATAATCTTTTATGTTTAAAAGTAAGTTCAAATATATTATTAAAAAAAAAAATTATTCTTCTAGGTGCATCATTTCTCTTTTTAACACTATGAAATTTGGCACATGCAAAGAAATGATGAAATTAAAACCTAGATTACAGTGGCAACATAATGGTCACATGTTACTAGGTAGTAAAATTTTTTCAATGGCAATGCAAGTCAAATGCCACTGAAAAGATTTTACTACCCAGGCAATACATCATGGCATGGAATCAAACAACAGTTTAATGTCCTACGACAAATTCTACCAGATGTTCTGCAATTGTTGGGCTTGTTCACCCACAATCCGTGATGGCTGCAACTGTCTTCCTAGCATATCTCACACATGCATAAATGACCAAGGAAAGGTATGAACACCATGGAATACACTGTTCAGAGACTTTTGCCATGTAAGAGGGCTTTCTCATCAGGTTGACATCATAGGCAGTATATCTGGCTGTGAATGACAATAGAGCATCTTTGTAGCAATACTAGAGAAGATCTATTGTCATAGGGAAATTGAACTATAGTAGTCAAGTGGCAATTACTGCAGCTGGATCTGATTGATCGTCATGTGTGTATAGAGAGGCATGGTTATCATCTGCACCCAAAGAGATGCAGGATATGCAATGCAGTCTCGGATTGTGTCTATGTGGGAGGTCAGTGGTAGATGTCTTGTGGAATGATGGAAATGAAGTCCACTTTTTCCAGGCATTGCAGAATGGTACCCCTTAGTACCATCCTCCATAAAGCTTGTAGTATGCATGTTATTTTGGATAGAAGACAAGGATGTCATTGGTATTATAATGGCTGTTGTCCTTTGTGCTCCTAGACCAGAGCCACATCACTTAGGCAATGTGTCAGTATTAAATTGAACACAGTAACCTTATATGTAATATGACAAATAACTAGATATCAGTTCACAAGGTAAAATATTTCTTTAAACAATGTTTAGATTCAGAGAGAGAGAGAGAGCAGCCAATCATTTTATTTATGTATAACAAAGTCTTAAAAGCAATATTCCCGGCTACTTTTAAAATAAATAACATTCATATTTTTTATATCTATACAAAAATCTACAAATTTTAGCCAAAATTATTTGATACAGAATCAGTTACTTCAAATCTGGATAAATATGTATTTTACATGATATAATTAAAACGAAAAATTGTTCCTATTGCTTAAACGATAAAATGTATAGTTATTGTCAAAGGGAAGTGTTTGAATAATTTCAGTGAAGGCATTAAAGTTCTTATATATTATTATATCATCAAAATTATTTGATTGGAGCTCCCTTCATGCTCTTGCAAGTGATTACACCCAGTTTTGTCATTAGAGGATTCCCTTGCCATTCAGCAACATGATTTAGTGATGTTTTCAGATCAACCTATAGAAAAAAAAGTTTAGATTAGTTTTAAGTATAATATTTTGATACATTCACAAATGGAACTTATAAAAGAATAAAAATTAGTTAGACTTAATTTGATTCAATTCTCAACAAACTATAGAGTAATAATCAATACTAGGAATGAAAGGTCACATCATATCTGATCCATCATTCATTCTAGCTTGGTGTTGTGTAGTTTTCATCTTTCTGGCAAACTTAACTGAATTTAGTTTTGAATTTATAGCACAAATCAACCACGTTATAATGTCGTCATCTATTTATTATTGAAATTTGTAATAACAGGAAATAAGTATACTTTGAATTAAATGAAAATTTTTACAGGTGTCTATTTTGTACCTGTATCTATGATGATACAATAAGGTTATTGTATCATAAGTTAGTTATAAGGAATATAAGGTTATTGTAACATTCCTGATTTTAAATATATGTAAAATCAGAAATGTTAGCTACTATTCATTCAAACTCTCAATTTTCATTATTTTTCTGCTAAAGGACAAATAACCATGATGATGATTTTTTGTTGTGAAAATTGAGATCCTGCTCAGAAAAGTAACTTGACAGATGCAAGAAATGAAAATCTGAAATATAGTTTCTGTAATAAGTTTGAACACTTCACCATCAACATTTAAATACAGTCTATCTCTAACATACCATTACATTATTCCAAACTTTTTAACGAATGTTCAGCATTAGTCAATGTCAAGTGACTTTGCATCATCCTATATATGCTTTTGGGGGTTAATAATATAATTATATATATGTAGAATTACCTGTAATTTTTCCCAAATTTTCTTTTTGGGGTTTAAAACATCATCTGGTTGTGAATTTCTATAACCATCAACATATATAATATCACCTGGTAAACTGCCTTCTGGTGGCTGCAAAAGTTCTACTTTACGTGGTTCAGATCTAAAAAAAATCAATAATTAGGAATGTAAGATTTATTTTGAACAAGTTATATTAGTAACCATAGAATTAAAGATAATACTATATCATATGAATACTTTTTAAAGTTCGATAGAGCATTTGAAACCAAAATGTTCATGTTTTCTTTACTGAAAGTTCAATCTTTTGATCAAATACTTGTAAAACTTAAAACAATTTCTTTTGTGCCCCTTCCATTTTATATCTGGTGTTTTGGTTTTATTTTGTTTATGTTGTATTTACTTCTATAATGCTTGTTATAAACCCTGATGATGGGGCACAACTTCAAAGCACTATTTGGAAAGTTATTCTTTATTACCAAACTGTGGTTTTTTTGAGAACTGGAGATAGTATCTCATAATTTTTTAAATTCATTTTATTATTAACAAAGGAGCATTCACTATGTGTACAGAAATTACGTTAAATGTGTATTTATTAGAATTAAAATCCCCTCAATTATTATATAATTAAAAAATATTTGAAATACTGGACATATTTCTGCAGATAAGACGATAGTTGAATCATGAGACGAGACCCCCAAAATCTGGGGTCGTCTTATGGTTTTTCCAATTTTTTTATATCTGTCCTATAATTATTTTAATTTATATAAATTTCAATCTAATTTTTTTTGTAATGATTTATTAATAGAGAGTAGGGTATGTCCATAAAATAGAATAGCCCGTACAACATTTTTGTGAATAGTCAAGGTCATTACCCGAATGCCCGAATCAGTACAAATGTTTGCAACAATAGCAAGACAGTGTTGCCAGATGCAAGAAAATAAAATTTGTTTATTCAAAAAATTACAATAGGACATAATAATAATGTATAGCATATACGGAATTATTTAGATGACGACTGCTGATCTAAACTAAATTCATAGGCCATTGATAGTTAGGTCATCTTATAGGACAGATATATGTTAAAACTATAAAACTTTGACGAAAATTTATACCCCATCTTATTTACAGAAATATATGGTACTTAAACTCTTTACCACTGAATACTCACATTGATGCACAAAGAATCATCCCTTGTGATTCAACACCTCTCATTTTGGCAGCTTTAAGATTACAAAGAACTACAACCAATTTTCCATGAAGTTCTTCCAATGGAATTAACTGAGCTAAACCACTAACAATGGTTCTGTTTCCTTTCTCATCTCCAACATCAACTTTTGATACATATAAGCTGTCAGCATCTGGATGCTAATTATAACAACAACAACATCACATTGTTATTACAATTTAATTTCAGTAATATGAAAAATATCTAACATTATAAAAAAATTACTCTTAAATTATCTATTAAAAATGATCTATACACTTGATTAGATGAAATGTATACAAAGTACAGTGTAGGGCCATTAAGCCGCGGTGATTGGGCTCCAAACTGCTTAACCACGGCTTAAATATTTTTTGATAATGCATAAATTACAATAAATAATGAGAAAATAAATGTTTTTTGATTAATGGCCTTGAAATTAAGAATAACAATATTGTACTTTAAATACGAGTCGATTTACTGTGGATTAACTTTGTGGCATTGTAAGGTGTGAATCGGTGTAATGGTGGCCTCCATAATGCTGACACTCAGAGTGGATAAAACAGATTAATACTGTATTTGTATTTGAATTTCATTGTAAGTTATTTTATTGTTTATTGATAAATAAAAGACTAATCTTCTATAAATACCTCTTTGAAGTTATCAACCAGCATTTAAATATTTAATCCACGATAGGGCATAGCACATCAATCATGGACATTCAAAATGCCGAAATGCCAAAATGATAGCTGTCAACACCTGTCTCGAGTGTTTGAGAGGCCATATCCAGGTCTGTATGATCCAGTGCCAAAAAATTGGGATCCAAGCTTTTTGCACGGCTTAAGCAAATTCACGCATTACTGGAATGGCCCTACACTGTATATTTTAAATAAAATGACTTTTATAATCATAAATGGAATTTTCCCTTTAAAAAAAACCCCAAGGGGAATTATTTGAAGATCTCAGGTCCTAAGGCATTACCTTGCAACAAGAGCAGTGGATAAAAATTGAAAGAAGAACCTAATTACTTGTGTATTATAAAAATCATTTACTGAATTTATTTGCGTTACAGTTTCAACATCTAAAATAATTGGTGTTTTTATAGTTAACTTGATTCAGAGTTTTCCAATTTGATTGTTACATTGTCATTCATATCTATTTTGATGTCATAGTAGTCAAGAGCCTGATTCCAACAATCTTCTGGTTCAAAATCATCTCTTTCCAATGGAATGTCCTCCCAGTGTATGATTTTCATATCCAAATCTTCCCAGGTCTCTTTTACCTAAGAAACAATCATAAAGCATGGTGTGTGTCATCAACCATCTAACTATCATATTTTTCTCTAATTTTTTTCTTTCAGTTGCTTGTTCCAAGATATATTGGATGCATGAGTGTATTTGCTACATCCAACTCAAATGACAACAGCTCAAATTTGTAACCCCATTTCAGCTCATTTTTTTTGTAACACTAATTTTGTCACTTAAATGAATCCTAAATCAGCAAACAAGGACCAAAACTAAATTTTTCCAACATGATAACAACTAAATAATTGTGACATTCCTCTAACCATTCAACAAAGATGCAAATATCACCAAATATGACTTGCATATGTTTTTACTTCTCTCTCAACATTTTTAAAAATGTTGTAAGGTTGTTTTTTTCTGTTGACCTTCATTACAAACATTATAGTTAAGTGGACCTTCTCATGATCAGTAGACTTGATGTGCACAGTCTTAAATCCAATAATTTCTATGGTGGTCAAGCTAGCCTTGTCAAACCAAACAAAGTTTTAACGAGGTTTTGTGATGAAATTAGATGAACCAGCCTTAAGGTTTTGTATACTGTGATGATGATTAATGGAATAAGATTTTTTTTGCTGCTACTTTCTTTTGAACAAACATTATGTACAAAATCAGTTGGATTGACAATCTTCTCAGGTCAACCATGATTAGCCACAAAATCAACTTTGTCCTTTGTCAGTTACAATGAGAAATGAATTAGTCACCTTTTGTATGATCATTTTCTTGTTACCTGATGTTTTTGTGTATCTTTGTTCCCATCTTCCAAACTTTTTCTGATCTGCTTTCATCTCCCTCCACACAGCTTCTTCCTCTTCAGTTAATACAGAGAGAATAAAAAAGTTTTCCTTTAACTTTTTCCAATCACAAATACTTGAAGGGTCAATTCCATACTTCCTAGTTGCAGCCTCACTAGAATTTCTTTGTGTATTTTACAACTTCCAGCTTAAACTGAATGATATAAGTCTGTTTGGAAGCCATTTCAAATATGGGCAAAAAATGCACCTTTATATTGGTATTTTATTTGGAATGAAAATTTCTCCTATAGATAATGATTTTATTTCAAAATTTTCTTTTTCTTAATACTTGATTATTATGGCAAACTTATAGATAAAAATTAAGCAAAATATGCTGTTCATACATCTGAATCTGTAAATGGATGCTCATGTAAACCAAAATCATACACCTTTCCTAATTATCCTTCCACTAACAAGTTCTCAACTTACAAACACAGTTACAACTTTCCCAGATTCATATTTGACAATATTTACAATTTTATTTCCAAAAATGTTCTTTTGAATCATGGAAAGAAAATGCTGTCTGACTCTAAATTAGCCTGTAGAGTTCCATATTTCAGAGTAACAGATTAAACAATTTAAATAGGTAAAATTTTAGTTAATGTGTTTTCCCATGCTTTTCAACCTGGAGTTTGAGATGGGAGTTTATTTTTAACAGCATCTGTATTCCTCAGGTTTAATTGAGGACATATGGTAATTATAATGAAACAGGTATAAAATACTAAAAGTTATCTTACAAATTATACTTGTTTTAAATTGAAAATAAGTCTTACCTTTTCTATATCAATAATTTTTCCAACTCTGATATCTAATCTAGCAGGACTGATTTCTTCTTCTACAGCTATTTTGCCTTCTATGGAATAAGAATTATTCGAAAAATTTTAATGTTATATAAGATTAAAAAATTATGAAGATATGAAAACGGCAACAAATGGTAGATATTATAGTTGCAGTAATATAGTGAAGCATTTAAAATAAAGACAGATAAAATAACAGTAATAACTGTTGAAATGTAAAAACTAAACACAAACTGGTAAATAAAATTAATATATATTTCTTTTAAATTTATTATCATTTCATAATTATATAATCAAAAGGTACAGTACATTAACCCAAAAGATCATGCATAGAGTTTAAAAAAATACTCATCCTAAATTGAAAACTATCTTTGTTTCTATTGAAAATATTCCTGTTTAATACCTTTTTTATGTATTGCTTTGTCAATCTTAAGATTGAACTTTTGTATTTTGCTCTAGCTATACACCTTTTTACATATCACACTAAAATAGTATATGTTTGTATAAATTAGCCTGTAAAGTGGCAGCATTGAAAATAAAATATATCAACATGTAAAATGAACTGAAATTAAAGAGGTCTAGATTTCAAAAAATTCTCTGTAGTAAGATTTTTTATTCTAAATAAGTAACTGTGAATGCATCATGATTGAGAGAGAATAAACATTGAACTGAAATATGCCATCAAGTTTTGTATGAAATAGGGAGAAAGTGAAATCAACGTATACAACAAAAATTAAAAAAGTGTTGCATTCCTTTAATTATTATTAAAAAATCAAAGAGAATGAATGGGCAATTCAAATGATGATGATCTTCAATGATAAGAACTAGTCCGATAATTCGATAA